TATTACGATTATTATTACTATTATTATTATGATCATTCTAACCACAACCTCCGATCCCTGTGTGTGTTTCAGATCGGCACCATCGTGACAGGCACAGGTTCGAGTCTAGCCCTCCTCCTGTCGCTGGCGGCCATCATCTCCCTGTGTGTGCCCAACATTGTCACCGTGAGACTGGCCAGGACGGCCGGGGTGCTGCAGTTGCTGGCAGGTGGGGTCAAGGTCACGTCTCACACTTTGGAACAATGGACAGAAATCTGCAGCTAGTAAACTTTAGCATGCAATAGCGTGGTGATGTCACCAATAATGATTATGATCATCACCATTATATAAACAACAATAATAATTATTATTATAAATATGATTATAATAATTAGGCTATAATAATAATAATTATACATGTAATAATAATAATAGGGGTACTTGTTTATACCGAAACCTCCTGAAAACAACTGAAACCGCCCAAAACCCCCGGAAACCACCCGAAACCTCCTCAAAATTTCTATGATATGATGTTATTTTGCTATGCTAGCTATCGCTCTGTGGAAACAATATTGGTCTGTAATACTGTACAATATTACAGTTTTTGGATTCTTCTTTTGTTTTAGTAAGTGTTTTACTGCACTTGCAACACGATAAGGTCAAACAAGTGCCGAAGTTACAAGAGAGCAACAAACACAAAAAAGAAGGAGGCGGGAGATAAGGACGATAGATGTTTGATAGGAAAGAAGGAGCAAAACACACCAGAGCACCCGCCAACCACCCACTTGGATACTTCTTGATCCTGAAAAAATTATTTAAACTAAAAAACAATACAATAGCATTATATATAAGAGACAATATTTCACTTGGTTTGACTTATTTATTTTTATTTCAAACACTTTTTATTTGGCATGTACATAGGAAAAGTACATGTCTAAAAATTGTCTTGGGGAATTAGTGGTATATGCTTTAGTTTTCATTCTACGGGACTTACAAAATCGGCTTATTGCATAACTGAAAAGAAGGGAAAAAATCACTTTCTGACGCCATTCATCAAAAGCTTCGTGCAGTCAAAAATTCCTAAAGACAGTTTCTAGAAATAGGAGTCGTGAACATTTTGTGAAAGTTACATGAAAATCGAATAAGATACAGCAAGAAAATGGGATAAAAAGTGTGAAAATAACATTTTAAGAAAACGGCCGATAAAGGTCAGAAAAGGCCAAAATAGTTCTCTTTCCAATTAGAAACCGTAAAAACATATTTAAAACTCGAACATGGCAACTTCTTGATAATATTAACGCAGTAGAAATAAAATGGAGGTTTCCTACTGAAACTGAAACATATAAGCTGTGTAAAATATGCCTTTTGAGAAAAAAGTGGCAATTATTTTCTTTTAAAATTCTCTACCCTCTGATCTACAAT